GGCAAGGGGGGGAAGGAGCGGAGGAGGGAGAGGGGGAGTCGGGACAAGAATGAGGAGGCTACTGTGAGTGTCTCAAAAACTGGCACCTCGTTCTCCATCCTCCCACAGGGTCACTGGGAAGCATCCTGAAACCTACTCTGATGGAGCCCCCACCCCAGGCGCTTCTCAAACTGCATCTGGCGGTGGGGTTTCAGGCGGAGTCCGGAGTCCGTCGTGGGGCTGAGGAAAGAGGCGCAGGAAGCCAGGCTCCAGATCCTGGTCTCAGGCCCTTATAGGCTGTTTCTTCACCCTGCACAGCCTCGGTTTTCCCGCCTAGGAGAGAAGGGTCCATCCTGCCTCACAGGCCTGCTGGGAGGCTGACGGGGGTTTGTTCTTTGAGATCTCGTGGGCTCCGCAGTCCTGGGTGACCCTTCCCTCCTGGGCCCCCCGCACGCAGCCCGGTGGCAAGGCAGATGCTCAGTGAGTGGAGGGATGAGTGACCCCTCACCCAGTAGGTGCTGCTTAGGGGGCAGCTGTCGACACTGAGCTCAGGTTCTCACCGCACGCTGTGTGCCTTTGAGCAAGTCGCCTGCCTCCTCTGAGCCTCAGTTTCCCCATCTATGAAATAGGGCTTGTTCACCTGGGTCTAGTGTCCTGTTCCACAGTCATTGGGATTCGGTTACGATGCAGGACTCACCGGCTCACCTAGGGACACTGTTTTTCCTGAAAAGAGGTCAGTTTCGGGAAGACTCTGTGAAGAGGTGTTGCACAGATGAATCCCTCCGCAGGGAGAAGGGCCAGGCCGGGACAAGGCTGCTGGGCAAGGGCGGCTCTTCGGCACCCTGGGTTAATCAGCTATGCCCAGCACAGAGGGCACCCATATTCCAGGGTGTATGGGTGTCCTTGATATGTTGTGCACCAACTGGGCTAAAAGAGGTCTTGAGGTGAGAAAATTTGATGCTTCCAAGTACATATCAGGGGGCTCTGGTCCCCAGGCCCTCATACTGGAGGCGGCTGGCAGGAGTCCACATCCAGGTATGCCCCCCCCATCACCTGTTCATTGATTGACAGCCTCAGTGAGCCATCGTTTTGCAGGTGGAGGAGCTGCAGGATGAGCTCCCAGTCCAGGAGCAGTAGTCTGGGGGCAGGCACAGATACTGCCAACCAGGCCGAGGACTTCCTGCTTACGGGCCACAGGGCCCTGCGTGGCAGTGACGATGGTGGCTGTGGGGACCCACGGTTCTGCCTCCACAGACTGTTGTCCAGTGGGGAGCTGGCTCAGCACAGCCAGATCTTTTGATTAAAGAGAAGCCACCATCCCGTTATTGTGTGAAAATTTTTCTGATTTTAAATTTATTTACTTATTTTTGGCTGCGTTATGTCTTCGTTGCTGCGCAGGCTTTCTCTAGTTGCGGCGAGCGGGGGCCACTCTCCTTTGGGGTGCGTGGGCTTCTCATTGCGGGGGCTTCTCTTGTTGCGGAGCATGGGCTGTAGGCGCAGGCTTCAGTAATTGTGGCACACGGGCTTCAGTAGTTGTGGCACGTGGGCTCAGTCGTTGTGGCTCACGGGCTCTAGAGCGCAGGCTCAGTAGTTGTGGCACACGGGCTTCGGTAGTTGTGGCATGTGGGCTCAGTAGTTGTGGCTCACAGGCTCTAGAGTGCAGGCTCAGTAGTTGTGGCACACGGGCTTAGTTGCTCCGCGGCATGTGGGATCTTCCCGGACCAGGGCTTGAACCCATGTCCCCTGCGTTGGCAGGCGGATTCCCAACCACTGCGCCACCAGGGAAGCCCAATTGTTCTGATTTTAAAGAGTTGGGCACGTATTCCTGCTTTTCTGCTGCTGCAGACGCACCTGTAGCACGAGGCATGGTGGGCGGCTCAGCGGCTCTGACGGGCAGGGATGCTGCCCTCAGGGGTCTCTCAGGGCCCCATGAATGCCCAGCTCTGCTGTCGACACTTGGGAGTGGTTGATAATTTTTAACAACGGGGCTGAGTTCTCATTTTGCATTGGGCCTGACTTGTGGGCAGGCCGGAGCCCACCTGGCGGGGAGCAGGGGAGCAGAACCGCTTCAGAGAGGCGGGG